CCCTCAATAAAAGTTGTCAAGAAACAGCTCTAAGAGGGAATTACTGAGTTGAATAGCTGGCTAAATGATGTGCATTTATAGTCAGCATGGCAATGCTTCTTGGTGCTGTATGCATCTGCACTGACTGACCTAGTGTGGTGGGTAATAGCATCCTTTGGATCCCACTGAAGACCCTGGTGAAGGAAGTTTACTTTGTGTTGAATGAAAGGCTAATATTCTTCTTGCTTTTAGCTACTAAGTTATCTATTGCTCACATGTAAAAAGAATCACTTCCTCCTCCCCACCAATACACACACTGAAAGTGTGGTATGCTAAAGTATGGGACATCCTAGCAATGGAAAAAAAGGATAGATATTTTTAAATATGGATTCTATTCCTAACCTACTTAGAGGACAAAAATTCACCAGCCAGTTAACTAGTCTCTAGCTCAATTCTTTGAATATTAACAAATGTTATATCTACACATATAATCTTTATAGTATCATAGTTAGTAGGGTCAGAAGGGACCCGAGTAGATCATCTAGTGCAACCCCCTGCCATGGCACGAGAGAGTACTGGGGTCAAACGACCCCAGCAAAGTGTACATCTAGCCTCCTCTTAAAAACCCCCAGGATAGGAGCCAGAACCACTTCTCTTGGAAGTTGGTTCCAGATCCTAGCTGCCCTGACCATGAAGTAGTGCCTTTGGATATCTAGTTTACACCTACTCTCTAACAACTTGTGGCTATTGTTCCTTGTTACCCTGTGGGGCGCTAGGGGGAACAAGGTCTCTCCCATTCCCCGCTGGTCTCCCCTGGTCAGTTTATAGACAGCCACCAGGTCACCCCTCAGCTTTCTCTTGCGAAGGCTGAACAGGTTCAGGTCCCGTAGCCTCTCCTCATAGAGCCTGCCCTGCTGCCCTGATCATGTGAGTGGCCTTCCTCTGGCCCTTCTCCATGTTGTCCACATTCCTCCTGAAATGCGGCGCCCAGAACTGGATGCAGTGCTCCAGCTGTGGCCTGACCAGTACTGCATAGAGTACTTATATTGATACTAGAGGTGATTTTTCATAAAAAAATTGTGGTATATTATATCCTTTCTAAAAAGATTGTCTACCTAATGCAATTCCTGTGCATTATTCCTATGGTAGAATTGTGCTTCTGTAGTTGCCTCAATAAATAAAAAGTTCAAACAAGATCATGGAACATGAACACAACCTCCTGCCAGTGGTCAAGTACATACTTGGTCAGTTGTCAAATGCTGAAGTCTTCAGCGAACTGTGGCTGGTTTCCACCGAGACTCCAGGAATGGTGGTGCTGTGACAGCAGGGGGCCAGGGTTTCCATGGAGAACAGCCCAAGCAGCACTGGCAGGGTGCACAGCTGGGCGGGGAGCCGCTCCGGGGCTGGGATCTTGTGGTGGAAACAGCGTGGTCCAGAGCTGGCGCAGAGGTGCTACCTGCAACAAATTGCAGCTCTGCCTCAGCTCCAGCCCATGCTGTCACTGCCACATGATCCCAGCCCCAGAGCGGCTCCCTTCCCAGCTGTGCACCCTGCTAGTGCTGCTTGGGCTGTTCTCCATGGAAACCCTGGCCCCCTGCTGTCACAGCACCACCATTCCTGGAGTCTGGGTGCAAACTGGGCAGTGAGAGGCTGCTGGGAAATGGAGCCCACTGCAGGCCTGATCCAGCCCATGGGCCAGACTTTGCCTGCTGTTGGCCTGGAAGATTTCCAGGGTCTGTGAAGGAAGAGGAGTATTCTGGGCATCTCAGTGAACTTTAAGTTGTCTAGTATGGCTAAGACAATTACAACAAAGGAGCTGGATCTCACAACTAGAATGTTAAAAACTAATGGTTACAACAAAGACAAAATGGGGAAAATGAGAAGCTGGCAATTTTTTTTCAATGTAAAGTAATAGAGTTGCAGACAATTCAGCATCGCTGGAATGCAAATGCTTATGGATTAAAGTTCTAAGCAGTAAAACTAGTATTGCTGGGTTGTGACAGACCAGAAAGTCTCTCTGAAGAATAGGCTAAACTGTTTCTAAGCATATGTCCAAAACATATAGGATGAAAAGTCATGCTAACATGAGGAGACTTCATTCTGTGGGACATTTGTTTACTGTCTTATGGGGCCAGTAACAAATTGTCTTAGTAATTAAAAAAGAATTCCTAACCCAGGATTATATACAACACTGAATCTCACTGTGACAGAGCGTAACATTAAATTAGTGGTTGACAGCATGACTTTTTGCAAACAAAATACAGCACCTACCAGTAACATGTACATCTGCAACATGTACAGTAATATGTACCTTATTGTCCATTCTCCTCCTAGTCATGGGTTTTCACATCATATTTTTGACTTACCTTATTTTTCCATATTTCACACTCCTAATCTATATTTATGTTCCCCATCTGTTATGTTGCATGTTGCTATTTTTAATTGCAGCTTTCCTTTCTGCAAGCACTTGGGGTGGGCTTTCAATGAACATTTTCTATTTTCTCAATTGTGGATTTGTCCTTCTTGGCCATCTAGGAAATTCTTGCAGAACCCCTAGGTATCATACATATTTTTCAGTCTATGTTTTTCTTTTTTTATCACTTCTGTTCATAATTTTTTCCAACATCAGAATCCCATACAGTACTGCAGATATATCTTATATTTGCTATGGGGGAGACAGCATACCAGCTTTGTATCCTTACTAATTTTTTATTCTTATTAAAAAGCAAAGGACATCGTAACCATTAACAGAAAACTGGGAATTAGTAAATACCCCACATAAATCTCCCCCTTCTCTCTGTACCATTTCTATCAGCCCTGCTTGAGGTCCCTTTCTCCCTCAGACTGTAACAGCCTTTATGCTGTTTGCTGCCACAACCTCCAATGCTTCATTCCATGCCTGTTACTTCATATATTCATAGCTTCTCACATAAGTTGATTTCTTGCTCTATGCATACCATAATTTATACAAAATTTCCATGATTTTTACTGACATGTACAGGATTGTACACAGTAGTAGCATATGTTACTACTCTGCAGTGGTAGGGAAAGGTGGTACATTAATACCTTGTCTAACCCATAACACTGAACCTGGCATGTATAACCAGTTCTCCATTTAAGATAACAGTAAGAGTTAAGATGCTTTATGAAGAATAGCAGTATCCAAAAATCAAAACTCAGATGTGTCACCACACAAAATAAAAGGCACACTTGGGAATTAGAACTATACTCATGGTTGGGGGGGGGGGTGTTTCCTGAGTATTGTCTGAATAGAAAAAAACCAAACAAAAAAACCCCAAACAAAACATGTGAGAGAAGGTGAAGGACCACACAAAAACACCTCTGGTAAAGGCTGGATAAGCACAACAGAAAAAAAAAAAAAGTTAGAGAAATCAGATTTAGGGCTGATTTATCTGAGAGAAGCTTGGAGCTGTGAGGAAAGGGCTCCCGTTTGATTCCTGCTTTCAGGGAAGCAGGACTTTGCAATCCTGTCTGCTTACAAAGAGTGTACATCAAAACCCCCAAACTCCTTCTAACAGAAGTGATATACAAAACCCGAAACTTTTGACTGGCTGTCCAGGTCCAGGAGGAGGTATTCTGTCTAAGAAATAGGCTGTGGTTATGCAATTAAGGCTTATACTTTTGTATACCCAGAGCCACACACAACCACCATTTCCTCACTTAAGAAAGCATGTAGCTTCACCCTTGATGAAGCCTTTTTAGGAATGATTTAGAGATCTTATTAACTGAAACATAAGGAGTAGATGCCCAGGTTTCTACATATTTTTGTCTCTTCTCCTTTGCTCTACATAATCAAACTTCTGCTCTTTTTTCAGCAATAGCTCCAAGAATACTGTTTTTCTTTCCTTCTCCATAGCTGAACCTGTTCAGGTCTTGCTACATCTGATCTTCTCTCTCTTCTCCTGTCTCCCAAATGCTGGTCTTCCTACCAGCTTTACAAAATTTAGCCACTGAATTTATCTTCCTTGTTTTTTCTTTGGGCTCATGTCTCTCTCCAGGGAAGTTTAAGGGATCTCTGGGCTCTCTCTCCAGATTGGAGAGTCTGGTCAGGGCCCTGATACTGAACCTCTTTGAGAAAACCAGGACCTTCCTCCTTTTTTGGACCACTTCTCCCCATCTTCAGGTAAGCTGGGTTGCATCCAAATAAGGAGAGAAAAAAACTTGACCCCAACCCATTGAAACATCAGACTTACTGCCCCCTCACTCCAACAGAGGATCTGTCACCACCATCCAAGGACAGCTGTGATGAGGAAGAAACAGCAAGGCTCTCCACACATTCTTGTTCATTTGCTGAGGTGAGGTAGGGTACCCCCATATACAGGACCACGTCATATCAGGAGAAAGAACTACTGTTCTTTTAAAAATGTGTTTGGTTGTAAATAAATGCTGCCCAAGTTAACGTACCAAACTTATGAGACACTTAAATTATTCTGGAGGGCAGAAGCAAACCCTCTCACTTTGTCCCAGAGATGGCAACTGAATGTAAACAAGGAGAGGTTTAATGGTCTCCTCAGTAAGTGGTTAATTTGCTCATACCTTCATGCAAAAGGGAAATTTCTCTTTCCCCACCATGTTCAACTCCTTAATGTAACCATGTCCCCTTGGTAAGGATGCTTACATCTTGAAGTCATGTTTCTCCTTACATCTCATATAGAACAGTATCTGTGAAGGCAGCTAGGCTGGGAGTATGAGAGGCTCAACTAAAGCAGTGTTCTGACCTAATCAATCCTGTGGTTTGGTTGCAGGGGTTTGTGTTTGCACCTGCACTAGGGCCAAGCAGCAAGGAACTGCACAGAGGCTAGGAGCTGCACCAGCACTGCAGCCAGGGATGGGAAGAAGCAGTGGCAAAGAAAAACTGCGGTGGTGGGGACTAGGTCCGAAAACTTGTCTGTCTTGTACCTGAGCCAGGCTGTTCACTGAACGAGAGAGTAGTGTCTGTCACCATTTGTCTATGAAGTCCAAATCCAGATTCAGCTGCCACAAAAAACGGATAAATCCTGTAACGGTTGTTTCAGTGGGTTTTATTTAATTCTACATTTCATGAGTTGGTTTGGATCTCCATGCTTCCCATCACCAACAGGAGAGAAAAACCCAACTGCAAAAAGGAAGGAAGGGTGACTGTCACATAAGTACAGGTTGGATGGAGCCATCCTTCCCCATGAGCTCACAGATGCTTCCTCCTTCCTGCAATGCATTTCCCATTCCTAGGGGATTAGCCCTGGAGATGAATAAGAAACTCAGGCTGGCTCTAAATACTCCCCTTCTCCCTACAGCAGAGACCATTTGATGCTAGAAGGAACTACTGAATAGGGCAGGGCAGGGTACGGCAGATGTAAAAAGATCTAACTTCTCAACCAAACCACCAGATTAAAAGATGGCCTGGCTCCCTGTCACTCCTGAAGGAGACAACTAGGAAAGAAGTCACAGACCTGTAGAGTTAGGGAAGACTTGCTTTCTTCCCTTTCCGCATCTCTACATCTGATTTCCTGAAGGAGAGATGTACGCAATGAGTTCTGAGAGGGCTGAAGGAAAGATGGGGAAATCAAGTAAACATCCCAGCCCCTGAAAATCTAGGAGCTACCCAGCTACTCTCATTCCTTCTGTTTCAGAAATCTGTTTTTGAATAGCACAAACAGAGGACCTCCCATAGGAATTTGGAGGCAGCAGGGGATACAGAACACACAGGAACTGTTATGAGGGCCCAAACCATTCAGAGGTGGCCCTAAGCACAAGGAGGACAAGACTCCTCCCCCCAGTCAAGGTCCCAGGGGCTGGGGAAGCAGCAGTAAGACCATGGCAGGGAAGAAGGGAGCTCTTGCAGCATCAAGGGCTCAGAGGATTTTACTTTTTTTTCCTCTCCTGGGAACAACGAGGGCAGAACCTGGTAGGAAGGGAAGAAAGGAAGCAGACATTAAAATGTGACGGAGATCCTCCAAAAAACGACTCCATCTGACCCTCTCTAGCAGCCCCAAGATCCCATGTACATATGATCCCCAATTAATCTTCAATGGGATCACTTCTAAATACCCTACCCAGGGCTTTCCCTCTCCAGAAACTCATGAGATCCCCTTATCCCTTTGGTACCTGCAGTGTCCTTGCTTTCAGAATGCACTCACCATTTTCCTCTTGGCTTTGTCGTCAGGCCCACACAAGCAAAATGGAACCATTCAATGGAGCACTGGTAGGGGCAGAAAGCAAGAAGTCATTCATAAAGGGGAACTTCCTTCCTTGACATGTAATTTAGGGGCTACCGAAGGCCCCTTGATCATTTAATTATATAAAGCTTCCCTGACAAATCTGTAAAAGAGACCATGTTAATGTGCAACACAGAACAGGGGATAGAGAAACATGCCTAATTTCTATGCTGTTATGAAGCTTCTCTCCTTCCTGGTCCCAAGTTCAACCAGCACAAAAGTTAGTTCCTCTAAGGGTCCTCCCCAAATTCATGATCCTTCTTAATTCCCCTCGATAAGTATCTCCCTCCCCTCTCCATCCCACTATTTGGAGATGGGTTACAGCATTGTAGCAGCCATGATACTCCAGAAAGTGTGTAAGAGGACCCAAGAAAAGGCAGTGTGCACCCGAAAACTTGTCACCTCTCCTCCAAGTATACAGCTGGTCTGATAAAAGATATCACCACAGAAAACCCTGCTTCTCATGCTATTTGGAGATACACCCTTACAATGTTGTTGATTCAGGTATGTATCAGATTCACACAGGGCCAGATTCCCACCATGAGGGTCTCTCACTAATCCCTTCTCACTTATTCACACCAAATACAGGTCTCTTACATCTGGATTGTCACAGCCAATCATTTCTCCGTAGGAGACTTGGTGACAGAGGCAGTAGGTAGGTTCATTGGGGTCCACAGGCATATCCAGCACATCTGAGGGGTGCACATTTCCAAAGGTCACTGAGGGCATCCCATACTCTGTGCTTCTGCAGGGGGAAAGGGGAATCAGGTCAGCAGGGTCACCAGGAAAGGGCTGCATCACCTATCCCTAAGGTCCTACACATACACCCACAAATCCACTATCTTGGGGTCCTGTCCCCACAGGGAAGCTCTGATTATCCAGACCTTTCCTCCTGCAGGCAGGAAAAAGGAGATTACTTTCATTAGGAGTTCCTGCAGCTATACCAAGGCTCTTGCTTTCACTTCCCCAGGGCAGGGAAGAGGTAGTGGAATGATTAACCCCTAGTCTGAACCCATAGAGTGGCAGGACATTGGGCAGGAACTGACCGATTAAGCTGATTCTAATTAAGCAAGCTGAAACGGTCTCTCTCCCTCATTCACACTAAATACAGTCTTTTACACCCATGTTGTCACATCCAGTCTATCTGAATTGCAATGCTGTACCCAACCTCCTGGGTCTCCCCATCACTCACGTGCGGACAAGTTTCAACTTTTTCTGAGCCGTCTTTGGTGCCTCCTCATCAGAGTTCTTTCCCTTGGAGCGAGCACGAGCAGCTTTTTTCTCTTTCTGGGCCCGGCCCTCTGGTAGGAACAGGAAAGAGAAAAATTAAGCCTACTAGAAAGAGACATCTATAAGCAGTCCCTTTTTGCACACTAAGACACCCACCCCTTTATCGTCTTTGGGTCACATGCCCCATCATCTCTTCTGGGACACCCCACATAAACCTCCCCCCCCCATCTCTCTGGGCCATCTCTTTATCAGCCTTACTTGAGGTGTCTCTCCCCCTCAAACTGTAACAGCCTTTGTGCTGTTTCCTGCCACGCCCTCCAAGGCTTCATTCCATGCCTGTTACTTCTGTGGTCCTTTGCCCCCTGCCTTCAGCCCCCAGTGGTAGGGGACTCACTCTTCTTGCCCTTGCTGGAGGAGCTGTCATAATCACTTGACTCAATCTGTTTTTCCTTCAGGTCAGCCTCAAAACGGGCAAGGTCAGTGTCCAGCCGCCGGATGTGCTTGTCCACCTGTTTAGGCAACAATGAGCAACAGTGTTATCAGAGGACAGAATCCCAGGGGACCCAGAGAATACAGCAGAAACAACTTGGACAAAGAGCAGAGATCAGTCACCAAGGAAGCTGGGGATTCCCAACAGAACCAGGGTTCTCGAGGTACTCCTTGAATCAGGAATAGAAAGCACTGGGTCATGATTTTCAGCCCTTCAGACCGTAGCCACCTTATACTCCCCCGCACTCTTCTTCTTACCATTTCGTAGGTCTGCATGGCAAGCTGAACCTTGTCATCCCCAAACTCTTTGCATTTTCCATAGGCTTCCTGGATTTGCTTGAGAAGCCCCAATTTTTCCTCTGAGGACAGAGTCCGCGCATTGCTGATATACTCCGTGGCCAGTTTATCAATCTCTGACTTGAGGTCTGAAACAAAACCAAGCTCACTGTCAACAATAATCACAATGCCTTCTCCTAGGACAGGCAGAAAAACCCTGGCACTACAGTGCATACAAGGGAAAGAAAAGCTAACTAGCTGGAAGCTTCCTGCTTTGTCGCAGCATGCAACTCTGGGTCTCATCTCAGACACTCACCTTCTGTTCGCTGGTCCAGATCTCGCATGAGCTGGAAGTTTCTCTGCAATTCAAATGGTAGGTTCTCAATGCCTGAAGAGAGAGGAGGACACATGGAGGGGTCAGGCTGTCTAGGACACAGAGTAAATAAACACAAATTCCATCAAGCAGTGTTGACACAAACATGCTAGTCAGTTCATTATAATAGAAGATGTAGATACCAAAACTCAACTTTTTCTTTTATCTTGCATTTTCAATACAGTGATGTTTTTTAAGCCAACATCTCAAAGCAAAGGCTGTTCCCTACTGATCCATCCAAAAGGTGGATGGACATAGATATCCCCACTAGTGAGACAGGAAGGTTGAAGAAAAGATGAGAAGAGACTTGTGCTAGGTCAAGTAAAATCACAAAGCTGGAAACAGGTACAAGAATCTTATCTCCCAGTCCCATGTTCTTTGTTCTGGCCTGCTGCAACCTAATTTATTTCAGCCTAGTCAGTTTAGCACCTTAAAACACAACTGTAACCATGAACTGCTTTTACAGATTGGCAGCAAGGCTCAGAATGGATCATTCAAAATCAGAGATCAGCAATTCATTCCCAGTGTATCTTCTTGCTATTCTATTCACAGCCATGGGGTCCTTTCAGACTTACCCTACTGCAGGGGTGGCCAACCTTGGCCCATGTGCCACAAATGGCACGCAGCAGACTGGGGAAGGAAACAGGCAACACAGGGCAAAAAGAAGAAAGCAAAGCAGCAGATTGGGAAGGTGAGGGGATCACAATGGGATTCAGGAAGGTTTGGGGGCTAATTTGTGGCAGGCTTGCCAAAAAGGTTGACCCCTCACTTGACTTCTGGATGCGCAAATGGCCATACCAGCAAAAAGTGCCTGCTTTCTTCTTGGCCACACCCTGTCCAATCAAGTCAGATGTGACCACACTGAGTTAAGCACTCATGACTTCCAAGCTTGATTACTGCAATTCACATGCCCTGGTAAAACTCCAGTTAGGGCTCCAGTTGAGTTCTCGTCTATCCTTCTAGTCAAGGGTAAGGGCCCAAGCAGGGGCAGATGCATTCTGGAGATCAATATGTAGCAGCAGGGCTTTGGCGTCTTTGACCATGGTCCACCTTTGAGCTGATGGGGTCCACCTAACAAAGAGGAGAAGTAACTTTGCTCATAGACTCATTAACCTAGTGTTTTAAATTAGATTTGACTGCAGCTAGTAACAAAAGCCCATAGGTAAATAAAAAGCAGGCTGACCAGCACAAGACCTCAGAACAGAAGGGAACACAGGAAATCATAATCAAGTTGCAAATGGGACAGTAGTGGGACAATGTGTCAAGCCAGGGGTTGGCAACTTATAGTCCATGGGCTAAATCCATTCTGTGGAACCACTGAATGCACCTTGTGAACTCAGGGGATTCTGGGAGTGCAGTGGAGTGGAACCACAGTGGAGGGCAGGGAGGTTCACAGGTGCCACAACTGGGTGACAGGGAAAGTGGTAGCAACAGCTGAGTCCTAGCACTGACCTACCTCAGACTCGAGCAGGGTTATTCTGGGCTGCGGCCAGAAAAAAGTCTGCCAAATTCTGTATTAAGTAATCTCAAGTGCAAATGGAAAGATATATGGAGAATAACTGGGAAGAGCTGGAAGTCCTAGCACACACAAAATGATGATCTCACTGAGTTAAGTGACACTTAGTGGGACAGTTCATAGGACCAGAATATGGATGGGTATACCTTTTCTGGAAGAACGGGAAGGGAAAAGGGGACAATATACTGCCTTGCATATCTAGAGACGTGCACGTGTTCTGAGGTCCAGAACAAAGTAAGAACTGGACCTGTTGAAAGTCTTTGGGCCAAAATAAAAAGAGGAAAACAGCAAGGGATGTCACTGTAAATATCTATTACAGAGCACCAAACTAGCAGGTGGACAAAACTTTTTTTTTTAAATGAGTACCTGAGATTATCCAAATCACAGTACCTGGTGGTAAAAGGACCTTTTAATTACCATGCAACTAGCTGGAAATTTCACACAGTAGAGCACAGACAAGTTTTAGATTTTGTTGGGGACAACTTTTTGGTACACATGGGGCAGAAACCAACAAGGGTGGGCATTCTTAATTTGCTGCTTATGACTGAATGGGGAGGAACTGGTTGAGAATATGAAGGTGAACGCGATGAATCATGAAACGTTAGAGTTCATGATACCAACAACAGTACAGAAGAAGGATGGACTTCACAAAAGCTGACTAACAAGGTAGACCAGAACCAATGGGAGGCAGTGTAACAATTTGAAGGCTAATAAAGAATCTTATGTATGCAGGTGTAAAGATCAGAAAAGGCACAGGCACAAATTGAGATAATGCTAGCAAGAGACATGAGAGAGAGGGAAAAAAAAAGCACCATTTGTCCTAAGCAAAAAGACAAATAAAGAAAGCATAGCCAACTTCAGTACGACTTTTGACATTTTCATGAACAATGTCATGGGTGACAAACTAAGGTATGGTCTAGACAGAATAATCAGTAGCAACAGTTGACTGTTGTGCTGTGTCGAACAACCTTAGAGCGAAATGACACACAAACAGTGGCACAGGACTCTCAAACTCAGGAATCCTGGATTCTACTGCAAGTTCTAGGAAGGGGTACGTTCAAGTGGTTACAGGGCTTTCCCTACCAACTGCCCTTTGTTCTTGACTCCTGCAAACAAACTCCATTTGCCTCTGTTCCCTGTCTCTCTATGCAGCTTGTCCCTCCCAATACTTGTCTCAGCTACTATCCCACAGCCTTTCTGCCCCCCACTGTCTCTGTTCCTCTGGTACCTACTTTTTCTCCCTACAGCCTCCATGTATCCCACCTATTATTCCTCACCTCCACTGCACTAGTCTAGCTGATTTATCCCTCTCATTACAGGACCCCAGCCTGTGGAGAACTGAGATTAGAGAAGAAAAACATTTCTCATTCCTAGTGCATGGTGTCCCCTGACTGCTGGAAGCAGCAGTCACAGCAGTTGTGTTCAGTTCTTGTAATCTAGCGGCAGAGCATGCTCAGTACAGAAAGACTTCAGATAATTTAGCAGCCACTCTTTTAAAAACAACAACCACCACCAACCAAACAAAAAAAACCCAACCCTCTAACCAAGAAGGTTCAAGTGATGATTTTCAGAGTTCAGGAACTAGTAAAATTTAGGCAAATCTATGTTAATTTTTAACACAGCAAAACAGAGTCAGTTCTGTTCTTGCCCGATGCTTTGCAATATCTTTACCAAAGAACTTAAGGAAAACATAACATCATTTCTAGTAAAGCTGCAGACAATTTCAAAATTGAAGAAGTAGTGAAAAATGATGAGGACAAGTAATTTCCTCAAGCTGATCTGGACCTACTGGGCACGTTCAAACGAGCCTGCACGTGCCTCTTGCAGCGTCTCAAACCCCTTTGAGACACTGCAAGAGGCACCTGCAGGAACAAAAAAAAAAGTTCCCCGCGCTACAAATTTGCAGCGGGGGAGCAAAATTAGATCCCTGGGGTCAGAGGGGTCAAACAATATCCGGGGGGATAAGAACTGAAGCAACCAGAGGCTCAGTCCTCCACAGAGATGCTCTGGTAGCTTGCCAGAGCGTCTCTGTGGTTGGCCCTTTCCCTGGTCCTGAAGCATACTGCCTGCCCATGTGGGGCAGGCAGCAATGGGCAGGCAGCAGCACAAGCTGCAGGGGCCTGGACCTGGCTTCTGCCAGGTAAGTAGGGGGTAGAGGGGCTGGAGGAGGGGACGTTCCCCAATACCCTGTTCATTCCCCCCACTCACTGGCAGTAGCAGACATGGAGCAGGAGGCTGGAGAGAGCAGGGGAATGTCTCCAGCTCATTTCCAGGGGCTTGTCTGGAGGGGGGGGGGAGGTTATAGAGGATAACCCACATGAATGTGAGCTCAGAATGCCATGTGGTAGCTAAGGGCGCATCCAGACATGCATGGATATTTGTTTCCCTGGGGACAAGCAGCAGAAGCACACATTGTGCCACCACTACTTGTCCCCAGGAAACACCCATGCTCTGGTGTGCAGCAAGTTACCCTAGGTGGAGTAGGGGAGGCTGGGGCCAGGAACTGTGCTGGCCCCAGTAGCCTTACCTGGGGACTTCCAGGAGTTGCAGCCATAGCAGGAAGCGTGGGCAGCAGCCAGAGTGTAGCTCCAGCCAGCCAGGCACCAGTTTTGGGCGGCACATGCTGCTGTCAAGTGTCACCCCACTTTTTTTCAGTGTGCGTTTTTTTGACCCTGGAAACTCCTAGGGTCAACCCTCCCCTGCCCCCCACCAAGTAAAGTAGCAGCATGGGGAATGCCTGCACTTACAGTGTGCGGTGCCACAAATGAGTCTGCGCTCGTCTGGATGCGGCCTAAGAGTGCAAATGTGATCCTTGGATGTAGGACAAAAAGAACATCAAATTGAAATTAGGAGGTGGCATTGCTCTTATGCATGGCATTAGCAAAGACATTACTGGAATGCTGTGCTCAGTTTAGGTTGTCCACAATTTTAAAAGTCAACATACTGAAAAAAGAGAAGGGAAAAAAAAAAAAAATCAGGAAACTACTGCAAGAAACCTGTTGCAGAATGAAAGACTAATAAGCCTGATCTTTAAAGTTGTTAAAGAACAATGGGAGTTACTAAGGCATGTAGTAGATTCTCTAGTACTTGAGTTCTTTAAATCAAGACTACTCTTTTTTAAAGAAATCCTCTATAGAATCATTCTACCGGACCCCTCCGCTCAAAAGCTGCAATGCTGTTCCTAAATCATCCCTGTCTGACGCTTATCCCACTTCCTCTTGAAAATCTCTAATGAAGATTCCACAAATTCCCTGGGTAGTCTTATTCATGAATTTACTCTTCTGGCATTAAAGAAGTTTTTCCTAATACTACATTTATTAAAACAGAAGATGACCCTGATTATAAGATGACCCCCCAATAATTTGATTCTATATGTGGAAAGTGTTGAAGTTTGTTATAATTTTCCAGGTATAGAATCTAATTTTGGAGGAGACTTGCCTTGAATTTGTTCCCCTCCCATGGCTACAGAAAGTAAAATAAATCTGTGGGGATCAAGTAG